TTGCCCTAATTTGCTATCATTAAAGTTTTTTTATATCAAAAAAGAGAGAGATGTTAAAGAAGATATGTTGTGAAATTTTTCTCTTTTAAACCTATTTTTATCATACTAAATACTGCAATGACAGACGAGAACATAATCTCATATTGATACAATCTTTATAAATCTTGTGTGTTTTTGTGCCTTTCTATTTCCTACTACAATTTTATTACTTTTAAAGTGTGTTTGATTAAATATATTTTTCATGAAAAATATCAGTTTTTCATCCAAATTTTTACATTGGATGTTTGATTGTTATTTTTTTCCATTGAAAATATTTTCCAACATTTGAAAATGAGCTTAATTTTTCTTGTTTTTAAGGAAAATATTTTCTTTTGGAGGAGGTAGTTTTTGTTATTCTCAAAACAAAGAAAACATTTTCTTTTTTAGATGATATTTTTCATACCAACCAAACACACTCTTAGTGATATAGAATTAGAACTTTTCATTTTCGACACAATATTACATAATCTATTTTTCAAACAAGACATAAGATCTTTATACATAGCTCTTGTTTAAACGCCATTTTATTTATTAAAAAAAATTAGTTTTTTAAAAAACTCATTCAACCACATATTTTCCAATAAAATTGAAAAAAAAAAAAAAAAGATGTTCTCATTTTTTAACTATATGTTCTCATCAAAATATTATTTCAAAAATATAATTTTTTCTCTAAATGGAGCTCAAGTATGGGCTTGGAATTCAATAATGGTAAAACTCAAATAAATATGAATTGAGACGAATGATTTTGTATGTATCTCGGAGGGTTGTCAATGTCTTGTGGTCTTGGTCTTGGTCTTTGTCCTGTGACAATATTTACATTCCAATCGAATCCAACTGCAAAAGTTTCCGACATACTTTGGAAAATGGGCAAAGTGAAATTCTCTCCTACGCTCTTTTTAGTATGGCAGATTCCACTGGCCCCCATCACGTCAAGAAAAGAATTTTTGTTTCTTGAAAATTCTTAAATAAAATAACTTAAAATCTGCAATAGTTAATTATAGGAATAAATCATTTTTACAATGAATTTGTACAACATGCTTGACAATGATGTAGGTGTCAAAAAAGTATTGATGAAAAAAATAAAATATTTTTTAAACTGTCCAATAATAACATGACACATAACATGTTGTCAAACTTGTTGTAAAAATCATTGTACAGCAAACATGATTCGTTAGTTATATATAAAAAGTCGACCCCACTTGACTCTCTCTAATGTTCGAGTCTATGTACTGATCGATTTAAAATATCGATATAATGTTTACATGTTCCTTTTATTTTGTACAATTTAACCCGTTAGCAATATTAGATCATTACTTTCAATATGGACATCAAACAAATACAAAAATACAAGTGATGTAGCATCCTTTTGATAGAATCCATGACCAATTTAATTTATTAATATATAGAAATAATTCGTGAATAAGTAAATAGTATTTTGAATTTATTGAAAGTATGATTAAAATTAAAATTTAATTATTTATAAATAATTAATAAACTTTATCAAATAGAACTGTGACAAGAGTTAAACATAAATAAATAAACTTGTTGTTTCTATTAATGGAATTTACATAATGAAGATTTCCACTTGTACAGAAAATTGTTCGAGAATATTCTGCCAGAAATGTCACATGTTTGGAACCTATGTCGTGATAAAAAAAAATGTTAAAAAAATCCCTCATCCACCTCCAACTGTGTCTGTTTTATATGACGCGTCTATTATTGAATTCACCCAATCCGATAATTTTTAATTTTCTATACACATAGCAAGCTTCTTACGTAATTTTAGTTTAGATGTTAGAAAAGCTGTCCTCAGGGCACATCTCCAAGTGGTAAAAGGGGAGGGTGGAGAAATCCAGTTTTGCTTGAGACTGCCGCGTCAAGGGTTCGAATCCTGAAATATGGATTTGGTTATTGGGTAAGTGCAAGTGTACAAGCAGTCTTCCACCCTGTACCTTTGGAGGCATAACTTGCGATTTACCTCCTTCACGATACTCCAAAGCAGGGGCGATAAAAGACCCTTAAGGTTGGGGTTCAACCTTTTTTAGGTGTTAGAAAAGCAATTCCAATTTGATTTGTCATTGAATGATGCTCGCATCCCCATAAAGGAAGGCAACGGATACGCGTAAGAGCAAAAGCATTATGTGAATTTGAACGTGTTTTCACATCTTCACTTTTGCTTCTTTTCAAGTCTACAATCGACTTTCCACAAAAAAATATGACTCATATTTCTTGGAGCCATAAACAGGGCTGTTGTTAGCTTTTTCAATTTAATCGAATTTTAAACATTGAGCCCTCGAATTGTTGTGTCTATTTGCTTATTTAGAATACAAAAGATGATGAATTTATTCAACTTACAAAAAGACGAAAATATTACAC